CCAGTTGCAGTCTTCGAGTGCCGATTATGTTTGTTTTTCCTTAATCCCGACGTAGAATAAGCACTGTATTTGTACGAATAAAAATTGCAGTTAGTTTCAAGAAATCAACACTTTTATAAACAGCAAATGTGAAGCAACGAGTATCTGCATGATGTATTATCTAAACTAATGACATCATCTATGATAAAAATCTACTCTACGAGCCAGAAAATACGAGCAACGCAGCTCTAAAGGAAAAATCGTTGTCACTCGTGTATGAGCGACGTGGTAGAGGACGTGTTAATTATTCTACACTCGAAAAGTGATTACAATATTGCTCATATCTACGTTTCTTCAACTATAAATCGTTGGAATTCTTCGAAGGATCCTTAAGAACTATCATTTTCATATACAGGGTGGATCACGTAAAAGAAAGATCACCCTAAATTATCTTCTCTAATTTTTATACGTAACTTGAATGATTTCGAAGGTTGAATGAGATGGAAGAAAATTTTTTTTATAAATGCTTTTAACACGAATGCGTATATTCTTTCTTCTGTATTTTACATGAGACATTAGTATACCTTTAAACATGCATAATAGTGTGACCTTAACCCTTTGAGTGCTCACTAAAATATGGTAAAAAAGTGCAAATTTTTTTCTTTACTTGAATAATGTGGAAATATGTTTTTATTTTTTCTTATCTATTTCTTAATAATTTATGCGAACTACGAATGCATTAGGTTCCTGTTCTTTATAATGTTATATCCTACATAACTGAACCTCTTACAAAGTGAATTTTAAGCATTCGTTATACTCAAAGGGTGTTAAAATGACACTGGACACAAAAATTTCAAATCAAAGGTGAAACTTCCTTTCATTTTTTGTCGTTATTTCCTTCGAACAAATTTTCCTTCCATCTTATCCACCCTTTGAAACCGTTTAAATTACATGTAAAAATTTGTTCGCACCACCGCAGCTATTTAGAGAAGACAATTCAGGTGACCTGTTTCACGTGGCCCATCCTGTATCTCGATCGAACTCGTAAAATCTCTTACGAAAATAGAACAAGCTACTATTATTGCAATCCAGGTGATCCAAGTGGAAAATCTTGGACATGACCTTGCCGTCGGTCCACTCGAAAAGATGCTAAAAATTTACAATATCCAGAAACAATTAGAAAAGCACAATTTCGATAGAAAAAGAAAGAAAGAAATTCTCCATTTTATTTACATATTAATCGTGCCAAATATCGCTTTTCCTTTTTCACAGACAGAAGTGTAGTCTGTCAATATTGGTATAAAGAAAAATTCATAAAATCATCGAGTATCAATTTTTCCACGGTATATCAGTATTACTCTTCCACCTCTACAGCTGATTGCCATAAGAGCACGGATTAATCAGGCGCTAAATTTCCAAGGTGCTTTATGAGCTTCGGCGGCTCGCAGGAGAAATTTGCAAGGGACACGGGGAATTTATTATTCACCAAAGTTATTTTCCACGTTAATGAATCCGGCACAACTTCACAAGAGCCTACGATCTTTTCATCACAAAGCGATCTTTCCCTCTTCGTGGAATTTCATTCGAGACGAAACACCCGCCAACCCCTTGCACAGTCTGCTCCGTGTAAAATGGCGCACGGAATTTTGCCCGTATGCACGTTCCGAGTAACGATAGAGATATCGAAAAATATAAAGTAAATTCCACGAGTTAATTATCGCCCCGTTTTATCAAAATACTGCCTTTTCTTTTTACGGCCCTTCGAGACTCTGAGAGAAACTTACCGCTATTTTACATAGTGCATGAAATATATTTGTCGTCACTATTAGGTAGATTAGAAAAAAGAGGAGAATCTACCGCAGATCCTGTTTCCTACAAGGCTACAATTGATTATTACATCTACGGACTATTATTTCCTGTTTACACGAAGATCGTTATTTTAGTCTCTAGGTTAATAGAAACTCGATTGAAAAAAAGGGATCGATCGTTTAATCCGTATCTGCTGTGAAGATAGAAAATTCGACGAGTAAACGGAAATTTCGGTGTTACCGATTTTTCAAATGAAAAAATAACTTCAAGGCATAATTCGATTCACAGCGAAAGAGATTAATCGTTCCTCGAGTATCGTGGTAATTATATACACCTGTTGTATCTCTACGATTGGTCATAGAAAAATATATCTTTCCGCTATTATGCGCTACGACACTCTGAAATGGGGCGTTTCTGAAGATTACGAAGAACGGTAACGAGGTTTTCTTTTTTTTAACATTGTCGATGCGCATCGTGGACTGTGAACATTAACGAAGAAGAAAATATGCTACTTTCTTGAAATTTTAATCGTTAAAAATTTTTGGCGGAAGAAAATGTTCCAAAAGAATTTAAACGCAATCTTAAATAATATTTCACACCGACGAAATGGACGAGCTTCTTCGAACGAAGGGAAGA